GCTGCCTTTAAGTAGAAGCATTCGAAAAAACTTCCACGTCTATCTAGGCGTATGCAGTTTGCTCGAATATGTCTTATTTTCGATAATTATGGAACATGATTGCTTTGCGCTTTTGCGCTAAAAAATCTTTTCGTAATTATATGTTTTTTTATTTGGATGTGTAAGCAGTAGACGCTCATACAGTTATCACAAAGGGTTTTCAAATTTTTTTGAACTGTTTTTCAAGGTTCAGGGACTTTTAGACAGCAGTTCCAATGCTCTTGTACAAGAAAAAACCTGCACAACTCGACGCGGTGCCTTGAGCTAGGCGAAAAGTGACAAGGCGTCGGCATAATAGCAAAGTTCACTAATGCGATGCATATGTTGCGTAAGAATTGTTATTTGGCAACTCTTGTAAATATTAAGATGCCGCGTTACTTGAACCACCTGATATGATTAGCCTTTATTCCAGATTTTTTTTAATTTTTTATGTTCAAGAAATCCAACAAGGCTGATAACAACGGGCTGGTACACACAGCAGTGCGCATGGCTGCCTTTCATCGTTTTGATACCTCACGCGCTCAAAGAGTAGTCGCAATCAGTTTTAAACGTGGGGTGTGTGACGCCACACCTGAGGCGTAGTATTGAGGGATCATGTTGTGGGGGGAGAGAGGAGGGGTCGTTGTCGCGGTGTTGCTTACGTTAGAGATAACGTAATATTAGTTAGAAATACCAGACAAGCCCATTATGCGAAACATAAACACATTTAAATATCGAATAGGTACAGTAAGCAAAGTAAGGAAGCTTTGAATGCACAAGAGCATCGTTTTCGCAGTCAGCACGCCAAATAACCTCTGTGGAGCAACTTTTAGCTATTTTAGAGATTACCATTTACTCAGACAATCGCTGGGGGCAGGCGGGCACCGGAAAAATAGATTGCTGATTTCTCGCACCCCGCTCGCGGATTTTTTGCAAGGCAATCAGGACTTTTCGGAAGACCGCTTGCTGAGTCAGCGGATTTTTGAGAGACAGCCTGTTAAATTTTTTTTCGCTGTTATCTTTTGCAGATATGTTGCTGAATCTCTGAGGAATCGAGAACTCAGCAAGCGGTCTTCCGAAAAGTCCTGATTGCTTTCCAAAAAATCAGCGAGCGGGGTGCGAGAGATTAGCAATCTATTTTTCCGGTGCCCGCCTGCCCCCGGCTATTGTCTGAGCAATGGGCCACCTAAGTGAGATGGTCATTTTCAAACCTGATACCCTAATTTCACGCGTATAAGGCGCGGGGGATTTTTTTTCCAAAATCGACTAGCCCTGACAAGCCAAAGGACTTTACAACCAAAGGACCCTATAACGTGCTGTATATTGCTTGAGAGAATCGTGCGATTTAAGGATTTCTTTCCGGGATACAGTGAAGTGGCTGAGGGCTAGCTTGAAAATTCGAAAAACGCGCCCAATTAAGGTAATATTGTTCCAAAGGTAACTTTTCCCCTATAAATAATACAGAGCGCTACTCCTTCACTGTCCACATTAGCAATTCCACTTCAATCTGCTGCGAAATTACGATACCAAGAGCCAGCCAATTTTTTATCCCATTTCGCATTCAACAACTAAAACTAGAGAAAACCAATCAGGCTCAAGTTTAGGTTATCGAATCTGAATATACTTGCTGCCTTTCCTCGCAGACCACGTAGTAACGCAGACTTAGAATACCACTGTAATCGAACATGTTGCATTTGCATGGGGTAAAAAAAGCACTATATGTCTCCTAGGAAAAACTTTGAAATTTCCCTGTGGAGAAGAGAAATTTAGCAGTGCCAGCGACATAAAAAGCACAGAAATTTGAATGTTTTAAAGGTAGGTTAATGGGGTGCGGCACAACCCTTCAAAAGTGTGGCAGCCTCAGTTTTTTAATGGTTGTGCTACGCCCTATCAACATCGACAGAGAGAATTCTGGCGTATAATATGTATTCAGTTTCACACCCCAGATCTCGTTCTTCTCAAAGGTAACTTTTCCCCTATAAATAATAACTTCCTGATTAATTTCCTTTGAATTGCGTAACAACTGCTGGAATCACGAACCATTTGAAACGAAAATGGGAAAATGAAACCCTGGCCGGCTTTTAGTTCCACAGTTTGAAGGTTCTCAGATGGGATTTCTCAAGTAAATTAATAGTACTTTGTATTAAGTAAAAAAGGGTATAGCTAATTCACCTTGAATGAAACTAAACTTGTTTATAAATGATCGTTTCACTTGGGTGACCTAACTTCTGGAATGATATCCACGAAAGTCCATAATGGAGGAAAATGAACTTCCAAACCCCATTTTATTCGTTCGCGGTAGAAACTGGTCGGAATCTACTTTCCCTAGCGTTATCCAAAAATTTTTATCTCATCGCAACCACGAGGCAAAGCGGTGTGATGAAAATGATTCCACCCTACTTGAGTTCTCGCTTGCGAAAGAATCAAGCAAAAAGTCCATTTAGAATGGGGCAAAATGGGATTTACCTCCATTTTAAATGGACTTGAAAGCCCATTTTACTCCCAGCAGCAAGGTGAGCTGGGACTAAGCCCATTTTTGACCTTTTTGCATATTTTTATGGCGATTTTTTGAGAATGTGTTCCTCAGCTCATTCTAAGGTAACAAGTGAGTGGAAAAAGTTTCCTGTTTTTTATGAAGTCTGAAATGAGTGTTTCTTTCTAAGCTCATACAAACGCTACAAAAATCATGGAAGAAGGTTAAATTCACCAAAATATTCGCTAACAAACTCAAATGCTTCCAAATATCGAGTCGATGCGAATATTCCTATGTAAATCGAATAAAGTTTGTTAACTCTATAAATTATCAACCAAAACTAAATTCATGATTTGTATTTGAGAATAAGAAAGATTTGCGTTTCAAAACAATTACTCAGAAGCTATCTTTTGACTATTCCCGTAGAACCGAACCTCAAAGACGGCATTACAAACGCGATTTTAAGATTGGTCGCAAGAATTACTGAAATACCGCTAGCTAGCAAGGTAAATTTTGTGAAAAATTTTCTACTAGCAATAGTCCATACATTCAACTACTTAGAGATATAAACATTAGTGCTGAAAGACAAAGAAGAGTTAAAGTAGAACATCCGCGAAGTCATTCTTTGCGACTCGTAGTTTTCCGATTTAAAGAACCCTTTGGGTTGTAGGGCAAGGTTTCCTACGAGATAAGCATTTTGCTTCACAGATTGCAGTGCAAGTCTAGCCAAAGTTTGCTTTCCACAGAAAGCCCTACATACGAATTTGACTTAAAGCAGATTCATAGAAGTCTTGGGAAGCGAAGGCCCGGATATTATATGAATTTTATTTTTGAAGATGTTTTCGATGCTTAGTTATCGATAACAAATGGCATTTTTTAATGTATAATAAAGTGTGAAAGCATAGAATATTCATGTGACTGTCATCGTAACGTTGCAAGAGTGAGTAAACAGGTTGAGGCAAGTTGGAGAAAGGTTTTTGCTGAAGAAGTTTTGTATGGAATGAATGGATTCGCGAATGCGATATCTTATCGCACCGCATGGACTAAGTCCATTTTATTAGCACGAAAAGCCCATTTCGCGGGGACTTTCGTGGATATCATTCCTGGACACTCGGAACCTTCGCTGAGACTTGGCGCACAGGGGTTGTTAGACATGCTAATCACGAATTTGTTATAGTGGGTTTCCCGAGTTTCTTTCCATAGTTACCTCCACGATGCGTCCGCAGCGCATGCCCTCACACTTTCATGCACTTTTCGTTCCAACTTTGATGAAATTTTCTCGCTTTCCCCTCCCAAGTAAATTTGTTCTTTTGTGTTTTTCTATCTCAAGTCTGAACGGCTTACGAAACTGCCGGTGATGGATTTTTACGAGCCCTGACAATCTTGAGAGCTTTTGTTTTGCATTTCTCGTATTCTCCTCGATAGTGAAGCTTTGGGTATAGTTTAGGGGGATATTTCTTAAAAGGTTTTTTCACACAGTGGGAGTATCTATCCGGATGATTTTGTGGAGTATAGATGCTTCTAGTTTTCTAATGCGCCATTAGGGCTTTGCTTCTACAATTGTGCTTTTGAGCTTACACTTTTTAGGTTGTTTATGACCACCAGAACGTTTTAAAAGTGATCTTCTACTTCTTCTGCTACTTCTATCATCCATCATTGGTAGCGCCAGACGCTGGTCAGTCCAGCTTAACACTGCGCCTCTTGCGGATCTACGCTCACGTTTTACTTCGAGCAGCCAACCGACTCTAGATCAGTTCACTGGTAGTTCAATAATCAAGGCATTCTACTAATTTGGCCGACACCGTACATAGTGACTTATTGTGTCCTTTGTCAGAAGTTTTTGTCTGTGTTATCTTGTCTTTGCAGGATCTCGTTTTTGAGCGAATTTAAACATGCCTCCATGTGATACTACGAGGCTTATCAAGTGCAGTGTCGCTTGCATCAGCATCTCCACATCCGCGGTGAACTCTGCATCTCTTCCGCGAACATGCTTTCTGATCACTTTCCCAAGGCGACTGTGTGAAAGGCGGAGCCTCAATCGATTGGAAGTGATTAGAAAGCATTTTCGCGCAAGAGACGCAGAGTTCAGCGCGGGAGTGGAGATGCTGATGCAAGCGACACTGCGTTTGATAAGCCTTGTAGTTTACTGTGTCACGTCTTGGAGGGCATCTACTGCGTCTTATACACGATCAGCTTTTTTACTTTCGAGGGCGTTTTTAATAATACTATTAGCCTTCTACAGCCTCCTCCCTTCTGAATGAAATCAAACAAATATGAACAGTTATTTTAATTTAGGGAACGGCCATAGGTTGCCAGCAACGGTTGTTGGTGTTGTCGTGGTTGCTGAGGTTGCCGGTCGTTGTAGGACCTCATGATAGCCTCCACGCGTTTCGCGCGCCCTCTAAACTGTCTCTAAACCCGACAATTCCGACAACACCGACAACCGCTGCCGGCATCCTATGGCCGTTCCCTTAAGGAAGAAAATCTTAATAGTAAAGTTAGATCCGACCTTTGCAAGCACTTTCTGGTACTCCTCAGCGCTTTCAAAGTCCTCCTGCGAAGCAGTATATCCGTCAGGCAATATCTTAAATCTTTCCATTAACGAGATGTGGATGCCGAGTATAAATTCGTTACATTGCATCAATAACAGTAAATGATTTGAAGATGCAGCAAATTGTCTTGATATATGCAAGGCCACAGCATGAGTTTTGTATAACACAGCAGACCATATTGATTACTTCTGTCTAAGTACCCTCCCAATCCGCTTTGCTTTCTTCCGCATCGCCGCCAAGCTGCGCATCTCTGCAGCAACCATGCATCACGTTGCGCATGCCGCTCACTGACGTTTTGTCAGCCGAAAACAGCTGATTGCCTTAGCAGTTGGCTTTTATAACTACTCAGACAAATTACCGGAACTTCCGCAAACGGGTCACCTGCGGAAGTTCCGTAAACGTGCTGCGGAAGTTCCGAAATGAGGTTCTGCGGAAGTTCCGAAGAATGCCAACTAACCAGCAGAAGAGAAAACCGGGCGAGATTTGAACCTCACTCTATTGACTGTGAGACCCACCTACTATCCTCTACGCTACGGCTAACATGTTCGATAATGCACTCGAGTTGTTGGCGAGGCAACATCACGAGAGAACACATTCAAAATCCTGCGGAAGTTCTGGCAGGCCAAAGTGCTGCGGAACCTCTGGCATTTTTCGGAATTTCCGCAGGATTTTGAAAAAGGTTCTGCGGAAGTTTCGGTTTTCAACCAGTCTGGCATGAAAATCCCGCGGAAGTTCTGATTCTCGACGTTTTCATTTTTGCAATAGTAAACAAAGTCCTGCGGAACTTCTGCAAATTTGGCTTGTCCTGCGGAAGTTCCGGTGATTTGTCTAAGTATATCTTCGTTTATTCTTGCTTTCTTCTCTCTGTCGCTTAATGGTGGGCTGAGGTGCATTAGACAGAGATGCGAACCGTCGAGTAACGAACGAAAGAACTTTTAAAAGGGGCGCAATTCGCTATTAGGGCTCTCCAAATTCTTATGCGGTGGATTTTGCTCACAAGGAAGGCGAAGTGGCCAAACCAAGCAAGATGTATACCATTCGATGCAATATTGAACACTGACTTTGAATCTGTCTTCTTTATTTGCTTATCGCTTTTGCGGACGAAGCTACAAGCAGTTTTATTGACGAAAGATCATTCATATAAAATGTGAAATTGAGCACATTGCTGCAATTTCAGCACAGTTTTAGGATTCAAAAATTTGGAGTTATCTGCATGTTTTGGCCCAGCATTAAGCCGAACGTGGCTCTGCATGGCAAAATTTTTTACGTATTATTTCTTAAAGGCAGCGTCCAGGCAGATCTGAACCTATGGGGCTTTTAGTGGAAAGTACTTTTGGGGCCCTAACTAAGGCACTGCCCAAGCGGCAGCTTAGGCAGTGCTGTAATGGCTGAGATATTCCCTTCGAAACTGGACCCCGCGACCGTGTTTTGCATGGATTCATGGCCCAAGCGTGGACCTTGGCGCGAAACTGCCATGAATCCATGCGAATACGTTCGCGGGGGCCAGTTTCGAGGGACATATCTCAGCCATTAGAGCACTACCTTAGCTGCCGCTTGGGCAGTGCCTTAGTTAGGGCCCCAAAAGTACTTTCCACTAAAAGCCCCATAGGTTCAGATCTGCCTGGACGCTGCCTTTAACAAAATATTGGCCTTTAATGGCTTATAACTTCCAAAAAAGCGATGAGCAGATAAGGAAGACAGATTTAGAGTTAGCGCTTCATGTTGCACCTAACTGTAAGCCGTTTGTCTGGATCAGCTATTTAAATATCTGACCATTCCCTTGTCAGCCCATGGGGTAATCCGACATGATATTCACAAATATCGCATTTTCTAAGCACGTCTCCCCGTGCTATTACGGTGGGCGTGCGGTAGAGGTCAAACCACGATTTGCTCGAAACTGCGTCTAGACGGGAGGGTTATTTGGCGCGCTGAGAGTGAATATCTTACTGGTTTTGCAAAATGGAGCCGTTTTCTCGGATTCCGAAAGTATATGGTAGATAGCTCCAACTTCTAAGTTTTGCACAAATGCCTTTATGAGTTTTCAAGCATGCTAATCTAATTCCGGCGTTGTAGAGCTACGGTTATTCGCAGGCGCTTGAATAATCTTTTGGACCAAATTTGAGCGAGATCCACGACAAGGAAATTTTGGGGCGGAACAGTGCCCAAAAGGATTGTTATATTGCTGCTAAAGCTGAATTGTGCCTTTCTTGTTCGACCAACAATTCGTCCTTTTGCTCATTTTTATACAAATATGTCATGAACATTATGCACTGAACCTCATGTATTTTGGTAAGTATAACGCGTTTCCTACATAGCACAATGACAAACTATTTTCAAATCGAGCGCATAGTATATAGTAGAGGCGCAACTGTTGAGAAAAGGTAAACATTCAAGGTAGGGTCAAGCTTGTGATGCGGCTGTCGCAACGGGGGGTCGTAAATGGGGTACCTAAGGTGGGGGGGGGGGGGTCGTAAGAAGAGGTAGTTAGGCTAAAATACCCTAAGCTTAAAAGGGAATCAAAAAGCGATAATTATTAGGTTGTCCCAGAAGTGAACTTTTTTTGAATCACTCAAGCTGTTTTTGTCCTAGTATTAGGTTGGCCCGAAAGTTCTTTCGCACCATTTTCAAAAATTCATAACTCCCCGTTCTTTCAGCCTATTTGCATGCTTTTATTTTTGTATGAAAGAGTAAGTCATGCCCTTTATAACGACACCTTAGCTGTTTGCTAATGGTCATGCGTTGCATAGATAGGAGCGATAGAAGATGGTCAAAATTCGAATTTTTCGTGTAGGGTCATAAAAAATCGGAAACTTGCAAGAAAAATCGGAGCAATCAGTATTGTAGCTTCTTTCATAACCTCTTTCTAACAGTGCAAAGTTTGCGCTGATTGAGCGTCTCTATGAAAAATTAGGATTTTCCAGCAAGCAATACAAATACACGGGCGAATTTGATTTATTTTGGCATTTTTCAGGGAAATCATAACTTTTCATAGAGACGCTCAATCGGTGCAAACTTTGCACCATTAGAAAGAGCTGGTGAAATAACCTACAATACTGACTGCTCCGATTTTTGTTGCAAGTTCCGATTTTTTATGACCCTACACGAAAAATTCGAATTTTGACCATTTTTCTTCTATCGCTCCTATCCATGCAACGGATGACCATTAGCAAACAGCTAAGGCGTCGTTATAAAGGGCATGACTTACTCTTTCATACAAAAATAAAAGCATGCAAATCGGCTGAAAGAACGGGGAGTTATGAATTTTTGAATATGGTGCGAAAGAACTTTCGGGCCAACCTAATATATTAGGTTGGCTAGAAAGTTCTTGCGTAATTCAAACAAAATTCAATAACTTTTCAATGACTAAATCTAAATTCATGATCTTGTTCTCTGAAAATATAAGAAGGCCTACGCTCCATGATGGATGTTTAAGCGCAAGATTTCATGAGCTAGCCCCCGAGAACGAAGCTCTCAAATATGGGACTTCAAAATTTGCAATTTTGAGTTTGGTGCCAGAGTGCCGCTAGCAAGCCGAAAAAATCTGTAAAAATTACTTACACTGCAGAAGTCCATACGTTACTTTGGAAGGCTTTGATCTTGCACGGTGAAGCAAAAACAAAAAATTCGTGAAATATTCAATTTGGCGGAAGAAATCCACTCATTACCGCAGTTTTTCGGCAAAAACAATTTTTTACACTCCAAAAAACGTCGCAAGGTTTTAAATGGGAAATATGTCTTATGGTTGCAAACTGTGTTTTTGTGGAAAAATTACATCGATAAGGAGACTTATCCTGTAAAATGACAAATTCCACAAATTTTTTGTTTTCGCATTTCCATGCGAGATTAAAGCCTGCTAAAATAACGTATGGACTTCTGCAGTGTAAGTAATTTTTGCAGATTTTTTTTCGGCTAGCTAGCGGCACTCTGCGATTTTCTGGCACCAAACTCAAAAATGCAAATTTTGAAGTCCCATATTTGAGAGCTTCGTTCTCGGGGGCTAGCTCATGAAATCTTGCGCTTAAACATCCTTCATGGAGCGCAGGCGTCTAATATTTTTAGAGAACAAGATTGTGAGTTTAGGTTTAGACAGTGAAAAGTTATTGAATTTTGTTTGAATTACGCAAGAACTTTCTAGCCAACCTAATATTTAGGGTATCATTCGATAGAGCAGATCAAGCTCTACAAAATGACCGCTAAAATTCCGCCTAATTCGCCTCCCATGTAAAGTTTGAAGCCAAAATCAAAGAAAAATTTGTCACCTAAAAATTGGATTTCTGCGACGAAGAATCCTGCAGACCTCGAATTTGATTATTATACAGTAGGGATATAGTAGTACACAAATATGCCTTTACCGACTTTTTTCCGAGCATAGAAAGCGAGAAACGAAAATTGTTCAAAAATGGCATACTCCGCTTCCAGCCCCTCCCACATATGTCATTGTATACTACAAGCCTTTCTAAGTGTAATTTTAAAATCTTTCCCCTGTATGTGCTCTTATAGTCGAGAAATGCCAAGTTTTACATAACCTGAAAAAAGTGGCATTTTGGCATTTTGGGACCTATTTATTTCTCAATTTTGAGCCCCGAAAAAAATCCACCAAATACAGTTTTGGGTACTACTATGTGTTTACTATGCAAAGACCAAGTTGGAAGTCCGTAGAAACTTTCTGTAAGGAGATTCAATTTTTAGGGTAGCTGAAAAATTTTGATTTTTGGCTCAGAAATTTACTTAGGTTACGAATTAGATGGAATGGTAGTCTTTTTATAGAACTTGCTGCGCTTTACCGAATGGTACCCTAAATCTGTCAAAAAAACAAAAACAGCTCAAGTTGTTTGAAAATGGAGTTTACTTTTGGGACAACCTAATAGTTATGTTCCTTACAATAAATCTATTAAAAAAGTAGAAATCAGAATAAAAAAGATAAAAAATTTGTAAAAATTCAAAAAAAAACATTTACAAGAGCTCCAAACTTTTGAAAGATGTATGACTTGATAAAAAGGCTAAATATACCGGCCCTAAAAATCTTGCTTCTAAAGCCTTCCTGAAGGTCGCACACACTCGACAAAAGCGAATATCTTCACCAGCTGTGACCACCATGAATTTCTAAATCTTTTTGTAATGTATTTCGGCCCATATAATTTGTTTATACTTCGGAGATGTGCTATATCAGAGCAAAATTTGGTGTTATTTCGTCAAATGTGGATTTTCTTATGATTTTATGTACGGTAGCAAAAAATGAGAAAAGGGGGGTCGTATCTGCGCCTCATCTAAATTTCTCCGGAGCTTTCTTGCTGTAAACTTGCTGCAATGCGAGACCATCCTTCTTCTTTTTATAATAAGAATTTCAGGCTGTTGCATAACTTTTCCGGTGGGCGAAATTTTAAGCTCAAAAATCCCACTTTTCGCTTTTTAGGATCGCATCTAAATTAGCGAGAGTCGCATCTAGATTATTTCGAGCCTACTGCTCCTTAATGGCTGAAACTTTTTCATGCATAGCATGGAAGTAGTATGAAAACTATACTACAAAGCCTGTTCATTGCAACCTCTCAATGTTTCCCTGCCTTTAGTTACAGATTTTCAAAATACCGTGCTCCTGCATGTTTTGACACCGTTCTGGATGGCGTTAAAGATGTTTTTCCGCACGAAAATCTGTGCGAAAGGTAGGATGTAAGCCTTTTACTCGAAAACATATCTTACGCTTTGAAGATATCGTTTTTTCTCTCTTCAAAAAAATGGTGTCGCGTACGGGGACCGTGTTTGCTGACCAGAAGTATGCTTGAAAATTCAAAAAAAAAGAACTTGCAGAACCCAAACATTATTGAAGGTGTGTATGCGTGCCAGAGAAATTCACTCCTTGGCTCAGAAATTCTGCTTCCAAAGCCCCAATGAAGTCTCACACACTCGCCAAAATCCCATATTTACCAACGGTGAACGTCAATAATTTGTAAATCTTAAAGCCAAGCTTAATCATCATTCAGATTGGAATCGATGTTCTGTTTTGTCAAATATTGTCGTTTCCATTCATATTTTCCCAACTACAATAAGCATAGCCAAACCTTCGTGGAATTTTGCTACTTACCCAAACTACGCAGAATTATTTGTGATTTGGTTTTTGAATGGCGAAGCATTACTCGCATTATTTCCCAATTTGTAAGTAGTTATCTATTTCTGATCTATAATTTTGATTGAGGTCCATTGGCAGGCATCTTTTGAGATTGACATTCATTCATGCAGGTTATCGCAAAAGAAAGTGGGAGTTGTAGGTGGGAGGGGTGGAGGGCTGGTAGGTGGGAGGGGAGGGGGTAGGTGAGGGGAGAGGGGTCGTACGGATAGGTATTTTCAGGGGGGGGGGGGGGAGGGGGTCGTAAAAGAGCGTCTAGGACGCATTAACACGCTTGACTTTTATTACATGTTTTCAAGGAGAAACAATTTCGAATGAGATTTCTGCTTTGTGGAGAAGAAGGTTTAGCAGTAGCAACTATATAAAAAAGAGACTTGAATGCTTTGAAGCTAAGTTGATTGGGGTGGCACAACTCTTAAAAGGTGTGGCAGCCACAGCTTTTTAGGGGTTGTGCCACGCCTCATTAACTTGCCTCCAAAAATTTTAGCAAACAAAATACATGAAGTTTGATAATTTAAGTCTTGTAGTTTCTATAGGAGTAATTTGGGCCCAATTCATCTTCTTCGCTCTGAGCAAAAGCTGGTGAAAACGCAGCCATTGAAAGCGAAAAATGGGACAAACGAGATTTTGGCCTGATTCTAATCTCGTAGTTCGATGGTTTTTTGAAACATGATTCATAGTATAGGAAAATAGGGAGTATTGCTTTATATTGAGTACAAAAAGAATTAGCTAATTCATTTTTGAAATATAGTTAACCATCGTTGAAAATATGCACTTCATTTGGGTGGTTCAATATTGATGTGCCTTAATATGATGGTAAAGCCTTTATGTCATGCCCATGGAAGAGAAAATGGGAGGGGATGTATTGAGACAAAAGATAGGTGGGGGCGGGGGGGGGGGGGGGGAATTGTATCCGGCGCTGTATGCCACACCTCTTGCTTGACCCTGGTTATGAGTGTTGAAAATCCAAACTCTCATGGCACAAGTAGCGAAATGCTGTACTAGAAAGCTAAAAGTAGGTAATTAGATTTGTACTAAGTTTTGCAACTTTCTTGATAACTCCTCTCGTTGAATTTGACGCACCCAAATTCCGCCAATATGTAAATTATGACGCAAGCTACATGCGCAGCCGCTAGTCTACCAGCTTCTGACGTCACAGGAAGGATCACGGTAGGTATATGGTGTGAGGGAGAAAAATAAAAATCATTGCGACTTTGGCTGAAACTGGTGTAGGAGATATTCGACATGCTAATCACAAAAACCAGTTGGATTTGCATGATAGGGGCTTTTTCGTAAGATTATTAGCTTTACGGTATGGGGTCTCACCCTAAACAAATAAAATGTGTGTTCGACGGGTAGGATACCCACTTTGGGAAGTTTTAGCGAATTTTGAATTTCTGAATCCTTTGCAGTGATGGTTGCCCCCACCAGGCCCGAGCACTGCGTCTTGTACAATTACGCCAAGCGTCAAATCTTGACTTCTTTTTCAATTCTACTTCATTTCCACTAAAGCAAATGAGTCAATCTCTAGCAGTAATTCACATAAAATTTCTGATCATAGTGCATTGTCGATTGCGAACGACTTCATTCTTGCTTGTAACCTTATGAATCCTCAAATTGCGTTGTTATTGAAAGTGACTAAAATTTTTTCTCTCGTGGCTGAAAATTTGAGAAGTCTGTGCATAAGTGAGCACATACTGAGTTCTACATATTGCTAAATTTTGAGTGCGCCACATTCAAAGAGAGGGAAGGTATGAAAGGTGTTGCAACACTCTCGAACTTGATATATCGACTACAAGGAAGAAATAGATACTGCGGTTCCGCATAGGTGATATGGTTGAGGTTGTTGTTTCGCAAGAAAATGCAGACTAATTCATAATTAATGCTCAATACTCTACGAAATATTAGGTTGGCACGAAAGTTCTTGCGTAATTCAAACAAAATTCAATAACCTTTCAAAGACTACTAAATTCACAATCTTGTATGCTAAAAATATTAGAAGCCTTACGCTTCATGATGGATGTTTAAGCATAAGATTCCGTGGGCTGGACATCAAGAACGAAGCTCTCGAATATGGGGCTTCAAATTTTGCGATTTTGAGTTTGGTGCCAGAAAATCGCAGTGTACCGCTAGCTAGCCGAAAAAAATCTGTAGAATTTACTTACGCAACGAAAGTCCATGTGTTACTTTGGAAGGGTTTGATCTTGCACGGTGAAGCAAAAACAAAATTCGTAAAATATGTCATTTTGTGGAAATATCCTGTCCGCAGTTTTCCGGCGAAAACACTTTTTTACAATCGAGAAAACGTCGCAAGGCTCTAAATAGGCACTATGTCTAATTTCTGGTTGCAAACTGTGTTTCTGTGGAAAAATTAGAGCGATAAGGGGATTTGTCCTGTGAAATGAGAAATTTCACAAATTTTTTGTTTTCGCATTTCCATGCGAGATCAAAGCCTGCTAAAATAACGTATGGACTTTTGTTGTGTAAGTAAGTTCTACAGATTTTTTTGGGCTAGCTAGCTGCCCTCTGCGATTTTCTGCCACCAATCTCAAAATCGCAAAATTTGAAGCCCCATATTTGAGAGCTTCGTTCTTGATGTCCAGCTCACGGAATCTTATGCATAAACTTCCATCATGGAGCATAAGGCTTCTAATATTCTTAGCTTACAACATTGTGAATTTAGGTTTAGTCTTTAAAAAGTTATTGAATTTTGTTTGAATTACGCAAGAACTTTCGTGCCAACCTAATATATAGGTGTCGTGTGGCGCAGAAATGGAAGACTAATCTGGAATCACCGTTCAGTGCTCTACAAAGTGATATAGGTGTGTCATCTGGAAAAATCATTTTGACTAAAAAGGCTTTACTTGTTAGTGAAAGTAGACAGTTTTGGTTAATGATGTGTCCGCAATCAATGCAGAAGGAGCAGTCAGGTGCATGTCATATGAGAAATTGTGTGAAATAAGCACTGTTTTCAGCAAAGACATGGGCTTGATCGGTCAGGAGACGATCGGATGTTAAAACAATGTTGTCAATCACGTAAAATCTAGCTGAATTAGGGCTTGGCACAGTTAGCACGTCAAGTGGGTATTGTTTTTAGGGCGGAAAGCAAAGGGGATCTCGTTTTTTCGGGGTCCGGGGCGGAGAAGAGACGTAAGAATGCCGCCAGCATGCTGTCCATCAAACAAACAATGGCGTTGTTTTCAACCAAAACGCAATAGTATGACACCAAATCTGGTGTGTGCATGCGCGTTGGGGGACTCGAACTATGGCCCAAAAATTTATCAAAACTTAAGTGATCGAAAGCTGTGCTGAACTTCTTTCTGAATTAGCTGGCAACGTGCCAGCTGCTGCCAGCTGAGCTGATACCGACACTTTGCTCACATAAGTTTTCATAATTTTTTTACATAAACTGTATCTACGCTGCAGAAGTTTACATATAGAGACGAAAGAATTTCATAATGCTTCCTTTTCAGCATTTTCTAGCCATCTGAAAATTAGTCGGTCTGCTCGGAGTCGAAAAATCGTTTTTTCTGCTTCTCAAGATGGCTTCGTCTTTAAAATCAATCACTTGGAAAGCTCAGAAAGCTGTGAAAAGTTGTTCCATGTAATTAGCATGCATGAAAACCCTATACATCTTTACATAATCTAAAAGCAATGACGGGTCTTCGTAACAAGTCAAACGGGACTTCGTACGAAATTTTCAAGATTAAACGAGACTTCGTTTTGGAATTTCCCTGTGCCAGCTCGTGCCGAGCCCTGAGCTGAATAAGCCATCAATCATTGAGTAATGCGTGCTTGCTTGATTTTGTTGTAACATACTTTTCGCTTTGACTTGCAACGTAGCTTGTGCTAGTCTAGTGCAGTTGAGATATGTTTCACATAGAAGATAACTAACACTGCACGGATCATGAAGTTTCGCAAAATCGGGCTTGAACTCTCCTGATTCGACGGCATGTACTGTACCAAAATTCACAAATGTTCGTTTATTTCCTTGTTTGTTCTTGACTACTACAGTGGTGAATCCAAGCTTTTGCATAATGTCGTCTAATTCCGCATAAGCTGAAGAGTGAATACATTGTGTTTATTAATACGTCGTATAAAAGGACTCACTTTCTTCATAGAGTACAGCCGTTCTGGAACACAAATAAGGTGTGTTCTTTGATGGTCCATAAAATGCTTTACCTCTGTATGTACCTCTTAGTCGAACATAGATTGGTCTTCCTTCGTCTTTAACTGCTTCTGAATTCATATCTGCGTCTATTCACAACAAGTATGGTTCGTATAATTCAAAGAAATTCGGGACCTTATACTATGCGTTTTTGAGCTCGAACTCACATACAGAAAACAAATTTCCCAAGCGACTATGCGAAAAAGAAGTCTTTTCGCTTAAATCAAAAGATTTGATGTCCATAAATACAAGTTTCGGACATAAATAGATAACCTTTAGCTTTTTCACCATAAACAGAGTGTCCCAAAACCATGTACACACTGTTAGATCATTGATATCTCTGTTCGCATGAAGTTCTTTGCCAAATTCTAGGTATCATGACTTATAATAAGCCGCTTAATCAGGCTGTGTGGAGTTTGTCCGTTACGAAAATACAGTAAGGAATGATTTACATTGCTAAGTATGTGAGAGTAGCACAACAGGGGAAGGTTGAGACAATTTATTGTCTCAAACCTTTTCCTGTCAAGGACAGGACAAGGACATTTTCATTTAAGATTGCTTACTGGACTGAGGAATGATGCTCTTCGCGTAAGTTTTCATTTTTCCAAAACGGCATATGCCCTGCGAAGCAAAGGTAACGCACTGTCATTCTGTAAGGCTGGCTTCAACGTTTATAATATGATGCAACTCATCTATCTTTTTTCATCACTGTGTGATTACGGAAAAACTCCAAGAAAGTTTTAAAATATTGAGGGCTATATTTTGCCTTAAGCAAGCCAATAGTTCTCAAAGGCAGTGAATTGGCAAAATCCAACAACTCAGGATTTTAACGCGGTAGGTTCCTTATCGATCAAGTATAGAAACAGTGCAATCCCGGTTGCACAGCATGGTTTCCCTGCCGAGAAAATCGCTCTCGAACTTATACGCGCAGGCCAATCTTACATGCATCTGGACGAGTTGACAATTTCATTCTCACCATTGGAGGCTGCCCGCCGCAACGCTATAACCATTGGGTCCTGCAACGACTAAGCGTCATCGGCCTTGCTCCACTCGTCCAATTCCAAAGGGAAGAGCATTAAAAAACGCTTGTTTTCGTCATTTTCAAGCCTTTAAAAGTGGATTTTCGGAATCAGCGTATCGAAAAACCCCAGGTAAGCGCAAATTTGACTAGGTTGAGATTTGCCGAGCCACTGCCTTTAAAGTAAGCCAATCGGTCGCAATTTAACTCCATTTTACTGAAATAAAGTGCGGTTCATAATTATACGAACACCCAAAATTTTGTAAGTTTTCGGACTTTTTGGGAGAAACTCAAAAAGCCGCTGGTACCACGATAGAACACAGCCCAAAACGGTATATGATCCATAAGAATGGAAGTTGATGTCAATCTTAGGAGTGTTTTTGCGCCTAATGCGAATTTTTAGCGGTTCATAATTATACGAACACCTCAAACAAAGGTCCATTTTTCATTTAAGATTGCAATCATTTGAGTGCAAATTTTTTCTAGAGTTATAGTAACAAAGTCTGATATATCTGCTACACACTGAACCCAATGCAGTTCAAAAAGAGGACCGTTACTTTTTTCAGAAGGCTCTAAATGCTTTTGGAGTGATTGCGCTCCAAAAGCATCCGTTCTTCTGTGGTTCACGCGCTCTGATTAGCTTCTACCAAAGCTATGAGATAAAATAAGCTCTTTCGATAGGTATTTTGTTTGACGCTTGGAAAATCTTTGCGTTTTCGTGCCGTTTTTCAACCAAGTTCCAACCTTACCACAAAGTTAGCACGATTTCGAGCCTCAAAACTCAGCTTCTCTTTTGCGCAAACATTTGATATAAAGCAGCTGCATTGTTTGCATGATAATGTTTCTGTGCCAAAGTTCTTGGGTTTTTTGTAGAACTGATCTCGAGGCTGTGGAGCTACAAACCAAATAAAGGTGTGATTGCAATAGTAAAAACAGTGTTTTTGGTGAAATGACGCCGCGTGGCCAAAACAAACGCTCAACGCTGCTGATTTTTTCTAGCCAAATAAACAGTCTTGGGAACTTCTACATACTATATGCTTACTTCATTGTACGGCTTCAGAAGCTGAGTTTGGAGGCTCGAAATCGTGCTAACTCTAGGGTAAGGTTGGAACTTGATTGAAAAACGGCATGAAAACGCAAAGATTTTCCAAACGTCGAAGAAAATACCTATCGAAAGAGCTTATTTTATCTCATAGCTTTGGTAGAAGCTAATTAGAGCGCGTGAACCACAAAAGAACCGATGTTATTGGAACGCAGTCATTCCAAAAGCATTTGTAGCCCTCTGAAAGAAGTAACGGTCCTCTTTTTTGAACTTCACTGGGTTCAGTGTGTAGCAGATATGTCAGACTTTGTTACTGTAGCTCTACAAAAAATTTGGACTCGAATGATTGCAACCTTGAATGAAAAATGGACCTTTGTTTGAGGTGTTCGTATAATTATGAACCGCTAAAAATTCGCATTAGGCGCAAAAACACTCCTAAGATTAACATCAATTTCCATTCTTATGGACCATTACCGTTTTCGGCTGTGTTCTATCGCGTGGTATTAACGCTTTTTGACATTCTCCCAAAAAGTTCGAAAACTTACAAAATTTTTGGGTGTTCGCATAATTATGAACCGCACTTTACTTCGGTCGTTAGTTATGCCACATACACTGCAACAGCTATTATCTTTTAGTGTTTCTCAAAATGTGTTAACCATACAAAAAGCCTGCAGACTCTGAAATTCAATAAATCAACCTTCGCAAAAATTCCTTTATGCAACTTTTGACATTTCTTGAAAAAATCTTGGAATGATCCATTCACAACAACGCTAAGTTGGATTTTCTTACCGCAACCTACAGTGATGAAGGGTGTTTGCTGATTTGCAGGATACTGTGAATCTAAGCTCAAGCCAGCTCTCTAAAATGGTCAAATGTTGGCAAAAGATGGAACGAGAAGAGACGCATTGGTCAAAGTATGTGCACATAGTTTTGGGTCATCCATTTTCTGGAGGCATGTCAGCCTATCAAATGCGCGAAAACGGCACTCAGGCCTGTTGAATTTCGAAAAATTGAGTCAGTCGGTCCCGAAAGAAGAGTTAACAGTCAATCTGTTGGGTGTAAAGCTTGTTTGACATGCTTGCTATTTCAATTAAGGAATGCTGACAAGATAATACTCAGAACATGAAACGGCCAATCCATACATTTTGTGCATCATCCCATTCGCCCTGAGACGATGATCATATCTTGTGTTTACTATCTGCTATACGATTCGATGTGAAGTGTTGCGAGAGTTCAAGCAGATCTGAGAAGTACTGTAATGCGTGTTCCACGGAGAACGTTTCAAAACCCTATACAAGTTCCTAGTGAGTGTGCTTCCCAGTAGTAATCACGCTACGTCAATCTGCTTTTCAACAATTTTCGCTCATTAGGTTTTGATAGGGTTATTTGTTTAAACGCTCAAACTCCTTGCAGATAGTCGCCTAGCAGATAATAAACATAGATCTGATGTGAGATCAGAGTCTCAAGGCAATCGCAATCATATACATTCAGACAATCGAGGGAGGATCCCGGGCACTGCCCAGCAAAGGTTTGCCATTCGTGCTCCGGAGCCCTCTCATTTCACCCTCTTTGGTGCTCCAGGGCTCCTCCAAAATCTGGCGCACCTCCGGAGCAGAGATTTGCGAGTCACGAGGAGGGGTCCCATTCGCCTCACAAGAAGGGAACCTTCTTCCGCATCGCAAGTGTAAAACATATTCAGAAGCGGAGTAGAACATAACATAACTGGCACGAGAATTTGTATCAAAAGCTAAATCCTTTGAAATGTGGAAAGCATTTTGTTTTCATAGAGCATATATGTGGCTTGACATACTATTTTCTGTGCCGCCCACTTGCTCGATTCTTTAAGATCGCCAGTACCACTATCTGGTAAGTCATATGGCCGACAATAGCTATTTTGTTTGGTTGAGGTAGGTGTGTATTAAGAATACGTGTTTTAATGCGTCAAGGGACGAAACAAAGTATAACTAAAAAAACCTTTTTGATTTATTTTCATTGCCTTTACAGTGTGTGCGCATAAAAATTATTTAGCTTTTTTTCGGTTAACCACTTCAGTTAAAGCCCCAAGGTTGAGCAAGAGGTGTGGCTAACAACAGCCGGATACTCTTTCCGTAACTTCTCTCTTAATACCTCCCCCGCCCCCCCCCCCCCACTTCATCGTTTGCTTACCGTAGGCATCACATAAAGGTTCTACAAAAGATAAGTAGTAGCACATTCATTATGATCATGTCAAACTCTTTGGGCCAAGTTTTAGCGAATTCTGAGAGTTTGCAGTAATAGACCGCTCAAGTGGAGGCTACCTTCAAACATGGTTGACTATAATTCAAAAGTAAATTAGCTGCTCTCTTTTTGGACTCCTTACAAACACTACTCCCTTTGCTCATAGCATGAATCCTGCTCGAATAACCATCAAACTATGGAATTAGGAACTAGCCTAAATCTCACAGCGGTCGTGCTTCCAGCAACTCAGCTAATCACTCATACAAACACTACGAAATTTTAGTTATCGAACTGCAAATATTTTGTTCGCTAAAACCTCTATTGAAGGTGAGTCAGTGGGGTGTGGAACAAGTTTAGAAAAGCTGTGGCTGCCACATTTTGTAGGGGTTGTGCCACCCCATTAACTTACCTTCGAAGCATTTAAACACTGATTTTCATATCGTTGCCAGTGCTAAATCTCCTTCTTTACACATTAGGGATTTCAATAATTACAGTAACATGCTAAATCTAAATCACTACGTAAGGGAAGGCGGGAAGAATAAATATATTGGATACCCTATTTTTAATCCGCACAAAAGTGATTTGAGCCTGATTATCTTTACTAGTCTGAAGAAATTGAAGGCGAGAAATGGAACAAAGGATGTTTGGTTTGCTCCTAATCGCGTAATTTGGAGGTTATTTGGTGTGGGTAATGTAGGCAAAGAAGTATTTTCTCACCTTTGTTTAAAATTAGCATGTTCGCAAATGACCATCTTGATTGGGTGGCACAGTATTTAAAAAATTCAGAATTTGCTGATTGGAGAGGTTATATAATATGCTAATTATGAAAATAATGCTCATATTTTTTAAGGCTTTTTTATAATGCTTAGTGTACGTGTATGACTGTGGGCCGAACATAAACGTGCGGTATTTTGCATAAACTGTTTATCCGATGCCCACCTATCTCATTGTTAACGAATATCATGTTATCCCTAACATCATTATCACCTCGGTAACGACCCACCCCCATTCCGTGACCCCTCAGTATGACCCCCCCCCCAACCCCCTGGTGTATTGCTTGCCCCACGCTTGACCTTGCTTATAACTGTAGCTAGTGGTAAAATGCGTAACTAACCTCTTCTTTTCTTACGTTCCAATAATGTTGGATGCAACCAAGCTGCATTTTCGCCAGAATTGCCGACATACACTTTCGAATATTGACCAAAAAACGCTAGAAGTTGAATCAGGATTTTTGAGTTTTACGTGAGATTTGATCAATGAACCCACTTGTGATGTATTTAAACTCTTCTTTGCTCTCAAGCACATGCAATGAGTACCCTTCCGGACATGCATCAGGAACGAAATTTTTCCCCTGCTTTTCAACTACAATGAAACAGTGATCAAAAAGTTCTTCCTCGTGGTCATCGCAATTGTAACCTTTTTCTAAATTACAAAATCTCCACTATAGTATGACTGAGACGAATCAACCAACCAAATACACATGTTGTTTCTGAGCCTGACTTACTGCTTGATACTGCATATGGTGCAGCTCCCGTACAAAATTCTTCCGCAGCGGCCTTGTTTTCCGTCTCTCGAGGGTATACAACTTCACACTTGGTTGGACTCTGAAGAGAACATTTGAAGTGTGAGAAACTCAATTTGCCTTTACAACGATTGCTAGATATTCATTGAAATCAACGAACAAAATTGAATAACCACATGATGATTTGCAGCACGCTACAACACTTGCGTTATCGATGTGATTGCATTCCATGGTGCAGTGCCATGCTTTTAGATAGATTATTCCAAAGAATTACTATGAAGAAAGCTTGGGTTTTGGAGTCATTCGATTTCTAACCTCATTCGTTAGTGTGCTGAAGAAAACTCTATTGCTTTTGCATACATTTGAAGCTGCACTTGTGAGCACGTCTTGCCTCTGCGGCTATAGGAACGCGGCGCTCACAGGTTTTACGTCTTCGTCCTGCAATAAACCTTAATAAACCTTACCTTAACCTCAGGGAGTAAAACAATATGAGTACTCTCAATTTTTGATTGATAGGTCCTATCATAAGTTCGTAACTTAATTTGCGTCGTTTCAAGCCACTTGCGGTTTAGATGTAAGCTCATGCTGCTTATATATGGGCGAGCGTTGACAAAAATTCAATTTGTCTTTGGCTTGATTCCTCAAGCTTGAATCTACCCCTTGAAGACTAGTGAGTAACAAGGGAATTGTCAGAACTGCCAATACAAACATGTCGTATGTCGTACTTATTCGAAACCATCTCATATTTAACTTCGTATCTGCTTATAAGCTATCAGGAAGGAGTTGTAAGCGTTCAAAGACGAATTTGTCAAGTATTCTCTGACGCGTCTTTTATGGAAAACGTTTCCAAAAACAGTAGGTTAAGGTGTGCATCGATATTGGTTTAATGTGCTGATAATCATTGTGATTACGCGGGTTCCTTTTTGGCATTTATTTATGGGGACTTGGATAAGAAATAATTGTCTGTGAGGTCTCGATTGGGTAAGTTCACATAATCACAAGCTCATAGTCCCCTCCAAGGAGTTGAGTAGATGATACATACATCTGAAAACAGCATTTTAAAGCGAGTGCGACGAGTTGCAGTCTGTTTGGAGTGGCCGAATAGAAATCTGACCCTTCCCCTGTCAGCATTTTACCACTGCTCTGAAAGCAATGGCGAATCACTGTCCTACTATAACAACGTGCAAAGGTTTTGTGTGTATGTCTGAAGATCTGTCCATCACGATTTACAGAGCAAGTTGCAACCAAGCTTTCAGGCTAGAGTTTTGCATAACATATTTCGAGTAGGTTCAGCATGCGCAGAGACAAGTGAGTACGATGCGTGGTTTCTTCAAAAAACGCAAATCATACAAATCCACATGCCTCTTGAATGACAAAATTAGGCCAGTGTTTGGACTGTCTGAGATGTCGCGAGTTTTTTGGCTTGGAAATCTGCAAGCGTGGACCTTAAATCAATAAGTAACCAAATCTTCTTTGAGAAGGAACGACCTTAAAAAGAATGATCAATTTATTGAGGTTCCAATCCAAGAAGATTTTTGCTCAGGGATATAGCTCAGGGTGGTCGTCCTCACGGCGACTATCAAGCCATGACTAATTTAAAGACTGACCCGAATCTGCATCTATTTGAAAGCAAGAATTTTTTCCTCTTAGAACATTACCGATTGCATAAAGAATTCTTTATAGCAAGTAGCTGTTTACTTGTGGTGTTAGCATGCGGTTAGTTCAACGTTCAACTTTTAACGTTTAAAAACCAGACATGTTTGCCAACCTATTTTTTTACGGAACTCCGGTGCGGACCTTCTGAAAATGATATCCTCTTTGCTTTTGACCTCAAAAACAAAGGCCAGTTTGAAACAGACCATCTATGCAGAAACCTGCGATCCGCTCTGAAGTATATTTGCATTCATTGGTCGCCACTGTTAAATGTAGTGAGGTGATCACTCTTTTCAATGCTGCATGTGTTCGCCAAAATTAAATCGTGAGCTGAAGCGATTCTATCTCGTCTTTCTCTTACATGCTCAAAGTCCACTTCTAGCAGTATCACCTAACGAAGTGGAAATGGGCTAATGTGGTCATCGAGCTCATGACAAAGAGTTTCTCTTTCATTATCCTCACACCCGGCTTGTGGTGCATTCAATGATCACTCGTAAGACTAATATCCCTATATCTGTCTTTATGCTCGTCAGCCGTAGCATATGCTTTACCAACTCATTGCTCCAGTCTCCAAGGCTGCTACGGTGCTGAACAAAATTATAGGTCTCCTTTAAAACATGCCATAACTCATCCTATTGTTGACGAAATGTTCCAAAATGTGGTAAACTCGTGTGTTTACCAGCCTACTATCAGCCATCAAAATGGGTCTCATTTTCGTCTGGTTATTGAAGAAAAATCAAAAATCAAAAAAAGCATGCTTGAAGGCTGATTGAAAGTATAGAATCACCTGGAGTTTTTACTCATTGAAGAACTTCCTTGCTCTCAAATTTTTAGGTAAGCAGAGATTCAAAGCTGTTAAACAGTTGCTATGTCAAGCTGTATCGCACTCCAAAAGAACAGATTATCCGCTTTTTGCCTTGAAGATGCTTTCACTGCATTTTGTTCCAGAAATCTGGTAGAAAATTCTGCGCTTTCTCGGCTGGTTCGAAAATGAGGGGCTTTAATCTACCTTCTAGATACACATATCTTGATTCAGAATAGGCGTATTCTAATTCCAAGGACAACGTTCGACTCAGCTTGGCGAGAATCATCTGGTACATGGATGTGCCACAATGGCACATCTATAAACCAGATGATGCGTTTCGCTAAGCACAAAACCCTACTGATAACGATATACCTATGTACCCCCTATCGGGGCACATAGGTACGTCGATCAGTAGGGTTTCGCTCTATTTTGCAGATTTTTTTTGGTGGATTGTCCAGTGTGCTCATAACAATATTGCCATTGATTTGCTGCTGATGGCACATCGTGGGGTTATTGCAGGAGCATGGTAGAGAGTCACTCTAATGGAATTGTTTTGAAATCAGCTCCAGGTACAATACTGCTCGCCCAATCTGCAAAATTTCAATGAACGTAGCGGAAATCCGAGAATTTCACGAAAGTTTGTAACTTACCCGAATGAACTTACCCGGAATACCGCGTCATTTCATCACGAAATCACTGGAATTTTGCGTAATAGTGGGAATCACACAAATTACGCAGAACCATAACCTCCTTCCGAATGAATATAATCCGAATCTAGAAACAGCATTCGTCAAGGCAAATTTTTCGTTGTACAGCATGCCCTCAATATTCCGCTTCCAGTTTTCTCAAATTCTTCGATAGTACTGTTTTTGTAGGTTATCGTGCGCTAATTAGTAGACTTCTTTTCAAAAAAGGCAGAAGCGTTGGTGAATTTTATAAAAAACGCGCGTTTTTAAATTCTACTCGCCGTAACCTTCTTTGGAATGATTATATTGTGAATCCGAAAAAAAACCTTTATGGTCAGTTCATCAAGACAAATCTTTTGATATACAGCACATCCTTGATATTCAAATTTCAGTATTCTCAGATCTTTCTGCGGACGTCCCTTCGCGAAGGTGTTATGAGCGAGCATTGTCCCGAGCGAATATCAGCAAAGATTTTTCGATAGTATTATTTTTTCTGTAGATCATGACGCGCTAAATGATAGCCGCAGATTTCTTTCCAAAGGAAATAGAAGGGCTGGTGAATTGTGGAAAAATCTTGTCGTCCCAAGTTCTACTCGCCACAGCCCTAGAATACGAAGCTATTTTGCCAAGCAGATGTGAGTGTCGAAAAAGTTTCAAAAAAAAGTCTACAAAAATCGCCGAGTTACGAGCCTACGAAAACACGTCTTCATGATTTTGCACAAACTTATAGATCGCATATTTCGTCAAAATTCCTCCGCAGCTGGTTATGACAGTCTAATTGCAAGCATTATGTTCACTTTGTCAAAAGGATCCTACTGTACTGAATATGGTGGTTAAGTTTGCTTTAGCTGCTTTGTTGAATTAGCTTCGTGGCTAGAGCTCAGATCTATCTAACTATCAAATCCAACACAGGAAGATCAATTGAGAGATTGAACAGATTTGATTAGCGTTTCATATAGCACAGTCACGGCGGAATTTCGACGAAGTATGCGATCTTTACATTTGGGGCAAAATGCATGAGGACGTGTTTTCACAGGCCCGTAATTCGGCGATTTTTATACTGGAGCCTGAAACATGCACCATTCGATGGCACACTTCCTAGTTAACTTAACCTCTATAAGTAGTCAGGCAGGTTTTCTGACAGATACGCGAGGCGTAAGGCGAATTGACGAGCTTTCGTGACTCCGTCACAGTTACTTCACCATATCTCTGCAAAAAGACCCTATACTTGACAGAAAACACGATTTTCATAAATAGTATGTTCGAAACCTTTATGTGCGGAGTTTCCTTTCAAACCAAGATCGACATTTTGACCAGAATCATTGGCGAGCTTTCAGAGCGTAAAACGAGAAAAAATGAAATAACTCGAACATCTCGGAAAACTAGCTCATAGAGGCTATCCGACCTACTGATTTCGAAACTCACATCTGCTTAGCAAAATAGCTTCGTATTCTAGGGCTATGGCGAGTAGAATTTGGGACGACAAGATTTTTCCACAATTCACCAGCCTTTCTATTTCCTTTGGAAAGAAATCTGCGGCTATTATTTAGCGCATCGATCTACAGAAAAAAATATTATCGAAAAATCTTTGCTGGAATTTACTCGGGACAATGCACGCTACATAACACTTTCGTGAAGAAACTCCGCAGAAAGATTTGAGATTACTGAAATTGGAATATCAAGGATATGCTGTAAGTCGAAAGATTTTTCTTTGTGAAATAAGCATAAAGGTTTCTTCGGATTCACATATAATCATTCCAAAAAAGTTTGGTGAGTAGGATTTAAAAACGCGTGATTTCTAAAATTTACAACGCTTCTGCCTTTTTTGAAAAGAAGCCTGCGGCTACTTTTGAACGAACGATAACCTACAAGAACAGTACTATCGAATAGTGTTTACAAAAATTTTTTCACTATCGAATAGTGCTTATAGAAATTTTTTTATGTTACATAAGCGCTGCGTTACATTCTTGCGAATGGACCTCCACAGAAAACTGCGAGAAAGCTGGAAACGGAGTATCCAGGGCATGCTGTACATCAAAGATTTGACTTGACGATCTGAACACAATGCTGCTTCCGGATTTATAATATATTTATTTCGAAGGAAATTATGGCGTGCGCATTCTGCGTGATTTCCATGATTCCGCGAATTCCAAAATGTTGCGAACTTCCAATATCGCTTATTTCAGCTTAGATCCTGGAATTCGAAGCTCACGGAAATTTTGCACATTCTGTGAGCGGTAGTGATCTTAAGCAGATTTTAAAACATTTTCGATCAGAGTGACTCTCTACCATATCCCTACAGTATACTTTTTATGTGTCATTAGCGGCAAATCATTGGCAATACTGTTATCAGCCCACTGAACAGTCCAACCAAACAAAAATCTGCAAAATTGAGCGAAAACTTACTGTCTAGCGTATACTATCATATCCTGCGAGACTGTTGGCACTCCTGTATACTAGATGATGCGTCTCGCCGAGCTGAAGCGGATGGTTTCCTCGGATTCAGGATTCGTCCATTCTGAAGCGAGATATGGCGATGCGACGCGGATTCCGAAGGACTCTGATGATGTGCGGCGCACTCCGCTGCTCTACGGCAGACTCTAGCAGAGCGTAGCGCACTCTACCGCACCCCGGCGCACTGCAGCGCACTCCGGCGGAGTGCGCCGCAGTTTAAGTATAATTTTGACGAACTATGAGCTGTATTGTACTTTTTGAGTGAACATTATAAAGCCTTTTTGCTGCCAGAGCAAATTCAACATAGACATTTTTGCAATCCGAGGCTCAAATTTTTGTCTGTAAACTTCTTCTGCATTGTCTTCAAAGGTAATGAATACTGGCATTGCTTGCGCGAAGAGGAGTCCGTATTCCATGGTTACAACTTTGCGGAGATCCTAGCATTTAGATATAATTGCGAAAACCAGCTTGCAGAAACTAATTGCGACAAGCACCAATTTTTAGGAAAATCATGTGCTAACACACAATGCAAGCTGTTCCACTATCTAGTAAAAAATTACTTAAAATCTCTAAGTGCGGTAGCTCGTTGCGAACTATTTCTGAAGTGGGTACCATCATCATAATACTGCACAACTTATGTTTCGAAAAAGAAGCAAAGGGCAGCTCTGTGAACACTTGTGAGTATGACGTACACATTTTTTCTTGTGTAAAGAGTGCTTCTACTATACCTTGTGGCTACAATGATATGCAAAAAAGGTTTCAGGACAGAAGTTGAGGCTTAGGCTTCCGACTGGGTCGATGTCGGATTTGCTCTAGCAGCAAAAAGTCAATTTGTTTCCCAATGCTCACGTCAAAAATCATTATAAGGTAGATTAAAATCCATCACATTCGAACCAGCTAAGATAGTGCAGAATTTCGTGCCCAGACGCAGGTTTCTGGAACAAACTACAGTGAAAGCATCTTCAAAGCAAAAAGCGGATAATCTGTTTTCAAAGTACGACACAGCTTGACAAAGCAACTGTTTGACACTTTTCTTGCTTAGAAAAATTGAAAGCAAGTAGGTGCTTTAACGAGTAGAAACTCCAGGTGGTCCTGTACTTTCTACCAGCCTTCAAGCATAAATTTTCAAAAATTTTTGATTTTTCTTAAATAACCAAACGAAAACGAGAACCCATCTTGATGACTGATAGTAGGCTAGTAAGCACACGGTTATACCAAATTCTGGCGCATTTTATTGGCAAAGCGACTCATGGCATTTTCTATAACTTACAATTTCGTTCATTTGTATACAAATTTCATTTCTGCTACCGTTGTTGAAGGCAGCGTCCAGGCAAGTCTGGACACATGGGGATCTCACGTAAATAGTAATTTTGGGGCACTAAGCCACTGCCTAACCGGCAGCTCAGGTAGTGCTCTAACGGCTGAGATATTCCCCTCGAAACTGGACCCGCGATCGTATTTCGCATGGATTCATTGTGCAAAGCGTGGTTCCTGGCGCGAAACTGCCATGAATTCATGCGAATACGATCAGGGGGGGGGTCCAGTTTTGAGGGGAATATCTCAGCCGTTAGAGCACTATCTGTCCTGCCGCTTGGGCAGTGCCTTAGTTAAGGCCCAAAAGTACTTTCCATTTAAAATCCCCATAGGTCCAGATCTGCCTGGACGCTGCCTTTAAGAGCTTCAGTCCATCGATAAGGCTGCACTTTCCTGCTCCACCCGGTTCTGGGTATGCAGGCTACATCCACTCGCCGCCTCTTAAGAAAGTCTGCAAACTTTCAAAAATGATAGGCGGTGATAAGTGTTAGGATGAGTGAGGCTTATCAAGGGTTATTCAATACGTCTATGTTTTGATCCCCTTAAAAAAGACGCATGCTGTTTCGAAAATCTTATGGTATTATCACATTGCGGCACATGCCTCTAACGATAAGAAGCAAATCGAGACTCGGCCAAGCGAGAGTAAAACGTTGCGCAGCCAATTTAAGGCTACAATTTCGGCTTGAAGGCAGTGGCTTGGCAAAATGGATCCTTGTTCGATTTTGGTACTGTTAGACAGTATACCCCCTAGACCCAATTCCACCTTTTGAGATGGGCTAAGTTCTAATCGCGCTTCAAAGTTCTGCCACTGACGCGCATTCCATGTAAATAGGCGGGGCTATCAGAATTGAAGCACCCACGCGTTGGAAGAAGGGACTTGGTCTACGATGTACTCAAGGGGTCTACTACTTGACAGTATCAAAATTTGACAAGGGTTCAGTTTGTCAACCCACTGCCTTTGAGGAGCTATGTCATGGCCGGAATTGGTGTAATGCTCATGCGAGTTGATTAACCTCTCTACACCGAAGCTTTAGCGCCACATGCATCAATATTTTCATTTTCAGCTTTTTGTATGGTCCCCTTGTAACGGCGGCAGACCGTCTTGTCTTCAAAATCATTGTTTCTTTCTTCGAAGTCAATGAAAACAAAGCTGACTGGTTACACGACCCAATTGTGTCGAGCATGTTTCTGACAAGAATAAATGGTGTGTCGAAGTTATTAAAGGGGTGATGAACCAGAGGTTAAAAGCTGGAGTCTATCAACTTCAATACTTTAAAAATTTGTTTCATCAAGTCAGAAATATGTTTAGCTTTGTGGATAATTAATCAGATAATGAGGAGTCAGATAATTAGCACTGCTTTGGAATGTTTCTGTTGATCTCTGAAAAATGGAAAGTCGTCTGCGCACGTAGTACGTTTATCTAACAAATGAATTTAGGATTTTCTGAGGCATAAAGCAGCCAAATCCTAGTTTGGTATTGCACTACGATGATGATGGGTGGTGAAAGCAGAGTCACACCTGATCCGTTGCCAAGCCTTCTTGTTTCCCTTTGGCAGTCAGGTAAACTCGTGCCACTTATTTTGGCGAATCCTGTCTGTAAACATGATGAGTGACCCGGTTCTTAGATGAGCCTCATACGGATTCAATATTGTTTTAGAACCTCATCATCATCGGAGCGCTCCCGCTATTCATCAACAGCAAAATGGCAACTTACCAGAAGCTTCCCTGCTCCAGCTTGCGCAGGTTTGTCGCAAAGTCTCGCGAAAGTTGCTATAATAATGTTGATAATAATAATGATAATAATAAAATAATGATAATATTAGGTTGAACCGAAAGTTCTTTTGCACCAAATTCAAAAATTCATAACTTCCGATTTTTCCAACCAATTTGACTGTATTTATATTTGTGAAAGAGCAAGTCAGCCCTTCATAAAGAAATCTTAGCTGCTTACTATTGTTCATCTGTTGCTCAGATAGGAGCGATAGAAGAAAATTGGTCAAACTTTGAATTTTTATGTACATAAAAAATAAAATTGCAACAAAAATTGGGGCAGTCGGTATTTTAGGCTATTTCACCAGCTCTTTCTAACAGTGCAAAGTCTGCACCGATTGAGCGTTTCTACGAAAAGTTACGATTTTCCTGAAAGAAGCCCAAATAAATCAAATTTGCCCTTTTGTATTGCTTGCTCGAAATCAAAACTTATCGTAGAGACGCTCAATCGGCGCCAACTTTGCACTGTTGGAAAGAGCTGGTGAAATAACATACGACACCAACTGCTCCGATTTTTGTTGCAAGTTTATTTTTTATGACCCTACATAGAAAATTCAGATTTTGACCTATTTTCTTCTATCGCTCCTATCTACGCAACATATGAGCAATAGTAAGCAGCTGAGATGTCGTTATAAAGAGCATGACTTGCTCTTTCATATAAAAGTAAAAGCAGTCAAATCGATTGGAAAAATCGGTCAAAAAAGTTACGAATTTTTAAATTTGGTGCGAAAGAACTTTCGGTTCAACCTCAATAGTAATAATAATAATAGTAATAATAATAAAAAATAATATTAAGGATAATAATAATAATAATAATAATAATAATAATAATAATAATAATAATAATAATAATAATAATAATAATAATAATAATAATAATAATAATAATAATAATAATAATAATAATAATAATAATAATAATAATAATAATAATAATAATAATAATAATAATAATAATAATAATAATAATAATAATAATAGTAATATTAATATCAATATTAATAATATTAGGTCGTCCCGAAAGTATTTTCGCTTTTTTCAAATAATCGCCACGGTCCGCAGAACAAACATCCTTAGAAAATCTTGGAAGCATTCGATGCAGTGTTTTATGCTCTTTCAAAAGGTCATCTCTACATCGCAGTTTAACAAAAGAGCTCTTAGAAAATTACTCAAAACTGCGACCCACACTTTTCACTAAGGTCAAGTTTCGCTGTTTTTCTTAATTCTTGTACAGATTCTCCGAAGAAGCCCAAGTAACCTGCGGATAGAGCAAACCAAGTAGGATACAAAACATTTTCTTTCTCCTTGCCAGAGCTCTCCATAATTTTTTGACAAAATTTCAAACAACACTACTGAATTTTAGCAAGCTCATACCAGATGAAGACTCGTCAGACTCTAAAAAATTCTCCGTTTTTGATACTTTTAAAGACAGATAAGATTCATTACTAATTTTTCAAGACAAATGAGCGTTTCCAGTTTCGAAATATCAGATTTTGAATTTTTCGGGTACATCTTGGGGCGCCATTAAAAACACGATTTTTATCGATTTTGTCCTCTAAAAGTTTACGAATCAGAAACAAAAAACATGTCTGTGAAAGAGGAGAAGGTGCTGCATCGAATAACACCCGAGTTGCTTCCTGAGTGATGCTCTATGAGGTTCAAGTTGACGAAATATAGAATTTGATAGCATCAAAAAATATTTCTAAAAATTTTGTAAAGTAAGATTTCGAAGGGGCGGAAATTGCTTTGTATCCTACTTGGTTTGCTCTATCCGCAGGTTACTTGGGCTTCTTCGGAGAATCAGTACGAGAATTTAGGAAAATAGCGAAACTTGACCTTGGTAAAAAGCGTGGGTCGCAGTTTTTGGTTATTTTCTAAGAGCTCGTCTGCTAAACTGCAATGAAGACCATTTAAAAGAGCATAAAGAACTGCATCGAATGATTCCAAGATCTTTTAAGGATGTTTGTTCTGCGGACCGTGGCGATGGTTTGAAAAAAGCGAAAATGCTTTCGGGACGACCTAATAATATTGATATTGATATTAATATTAAAATTAATATTAACAAAATTGATGCCAATTCTTAAGATAACACACAGGGTACCCAAAAGTTACACACGTCTTGATCGTCTTTTCCACCACGTTTTCATAGTTTTATAGTTGTACAATATCATGTCAAAATGCCACATCAACCGGGTAGGGGAACGAAAGCCGCCAGCTTCGGTCGCCTGCGCGGACTGCTGGTCCTGGAACGACATGCAACAACGTTGCGAAAGGACCAGTTAGCCGCGAAAGGCGGCTCAAACTGGCGGCTTTCGTTCCCCTACCCCATCAACCTAACAGACCAGAGAGGTCTGTTAGGTCGATGTGGCCTTTTCACATTATATTGTACAACTATAAAGAGAATCAAACGCTGATTCGAATTCTGTCTTCACTATCTGCCGAGTGCCTTTGGACGTCAAGTTATGAGGGTTTTTTTGAGTTGAAAAATTGAAGGCATAATTAGCACAAATTTCGTCAGAATTGCTCAAATGGTTCAATGTTGATTATCAGAGCAATTCATTTTGACGAAACCTTTTGTCCGAGACACTCATACTAAACACTGCTATATTTGAGCGCTTAAAAGATCGTAAAATTGCTTTTACCTAGATTATGCCATTCACTTTTCGCGCCAAAAAATATTCATAACTAGACATGCAGTAGTTGCTCTCGGCAGATAATGAAATCAAATTTAAAATCACCGTTTGATAGCTTTCAAGGTGATGTAAGACTCATTTGTAAAGGCCACTTTGACTAATCGGACCTCCCTTGTTAGCTTCAAATGCCATTCGGTAGCACAGGATGCAACTCAGTTCTAAAGTTTGCAGCGAATTGTTCTCCTTCATTGGAACAGAGTTACAGTATGGACTCATTGGAACAGAGTTACAGTATAAATATTTTATACTTTTTTACTTTTATCCCTTTTATACTTTTTGATTTAACGGGATTGGCGGCTCAAAGGTGATTGCTCGCACCCGCGACGCAGTCTGCGTCTCTCTCGCCGGTTGCTCTTTTATCATTCCTCAGCCTTGATTAGGCCTCGAAGTTTCGCCTTCCACTCGCTAATACCGTTAAATCAAAGGGTAAGTCAGCTGAGTAAAGTGCAACAGCTTATGAAGAGGATGGTGATTTGCTCCTTATCGTTTATCTATGTTAAAATCCGCTCTACTGAATATACTTGAAGCTAACAAGGGAATGGTCAAAATTAGGTGTAGCCAATCTAAACAGCTGCATATCGTTAGATGCAGCATAAAAAGCTGATTCTAAGTCTGTAGTGCGAAGTTATGGGCCATGAAAGGCCATTATTTTGAGCCATGTTCCGCTTAATGCTGGGCCAACACATGCAGCTATTATTATACTTCAAATAGCCTGTACCTAATGGTGAGTTGAAAGGGCAATAATACACTCATTTCGCATATTCAATGTACGATTTTTCCACAAAAAAACTTCGAATTTTAAACACCCATGTGAGCAAAACACTTTGCAGGAAAGAAGTTATCAACGAATAAAAATTGTGTACTACGTACTGTGTACATATTTTTGAGACTTCCCGTATATCACACCAACATTGATATTGGTATATCAATAATTTGGCGGTGTGGCGTTATGGAGCAAAGTTGAGCCGCATTCTCCTGCAGTACATCTTGAGGGACTTTTGCGTTGTGCCGCTCCCAATTGCAGCCGCAGAGGAGCTAGCGCTGTCCAGCGGATTGAGTCATTCTTCACATTCTCCACCGATAATTAATACAAAATGTTGAAATTGAACGGATTTTGAGGGTGAAACAAGTATAAAATACTTGTTTCACCCTCAAAAGAAGGAAGAAGTATCTGCAGATCCGGGGAAATCAAAAGGAAAGGAAATTGATATTTCTTAAAACGTCATTAACGAGAATTTCCTTCTTTTTTCTCTAATAATTCTCGTGTCCCACTTTTCTAGAACAAGTCAAATTTAGCCTTTGTTTCATCCTCAAAATCCAATCTATCTATTTTTCAATTCTTGGTTTCTTTATTGCAATAATACAGTCTGAACGTCTTAGGGTAATCATAGGGGAGACTCCTCCTACGGCTGCAATTTGGGGCGACGCATCGCAAACGCCCGCTCTCAGACATACCACAGGGGAATGCGGCGTAGCTTTGCTCCATAATGCCTGCCTCCTAATATTTTTTAATCCTAGCATTTCTTCCAAGCATACGTACGTGATTCAGGGACAACACCAGGCAATGTCAGCAGATATAGCGTCCAGAGCCAGAGATTGATCAGTGAGTGCACCACCATATCTTGTTGACTTGTGTCGCTTTGCTTTGATATAGTTCTAATTCTGCAAAAAAAGTTTGAGTGTGGGCACTCGCGAAGACTTTTCAAGGCAACATTCTGCTGCTCTGGTATTCAATGAGTTCGATTTCTTCGGAAGAAGGAGGGCCGAGAAACCACCTCTTGTTCAGCACCAGATGCTTTGAACAGTGGCATGATAGCGTTTTTTTGTTAGTATCTTCTCATCATTTTTTCACTTCTTTCAAAAGATCTGTCGTGCAACCAGAGGGGCAGTCGAGCAAAATTGCACTCAAGCGTTATCCAGGATTTGCGAACTTTAGACCTTTCGGGCTTTAGGCCAGAACTTTAGACCCCAATGCAATGGACTGAATGGTGATTATGCGCAGGAAAAGATATGTTGCATAGCTTGCATTCGTAGCAGCGGATACTCTCTCGATAAATACTGACTGTCTGACTGTGCGGCAGATATCATTTTCTGCAGTTTCATTGCTAGCGACTGGAGACTGCTCTTGCTTACGAAAGCTTCTCAAACAACACCACCACCAGTGAGCTCAGATGTGTTGAAGGCGGGTTTGCAAGGCCTTGGAAGCAGATTCGCACTTTGGAAGAAGAAGAATTAAGTTTTGGTGGGTTTGTCCGCAGTGAAAACGTTATGAGGCGATTCAAAAAAACAGCGGTTGTTGAACGTTCTTGTTGATTTAGGGCCGTATGCACTAACATCCCCGCGGGGAGGGGATTGCAGCTCAAAAGAAAGGGGTGGAGGACTATGTGTCGCCGAAAAAGGGCGGTCCCCGCGGTCATTTGCGACAAATGCGCACCCTTGTACATGCGCGGACATGCCTTCCTGCAGGGAATCTGCGCTGGACTCTTTCGAATTCGGCGACATATAGTCCTCTACCCAAAGGGAAGCTTTGTATATCAAAACTTTAGATATCTGGATTTCGCATTGTGTACCTATCCGTAAGTATTGCTACTACCCTTCACTATGAACATGTTGAAGAGGAGCGAGAAGGTGTACAAACCGCATTTTCCAGCTTTTGTATGATCCCTGATGATTCCCAGCGCTTTTCTTTAGAGTCATTTTTCTTTCTCCGAAGTTAACGAATAACCTCCAAAGTTGTGCAGATTATCTAACCTGACAGTGCTAAGCATGTTGCTGATAAGAACAAATGATGTTTTGAAGTCATGAAATTTTCGATGATCCACATTTCAAAATTTGAGGTTTACCGAAAAGTTCGACTTTTCAAAAACTCATTTATTCTCATCAGCAACATGCTTAGCACTGTTGTGTTAGATATTCAGTACAACTTTGGAAGGTTTTCGTTAACTTCGGAGAAAGAAAAATGACTTCAAAGAAAAGCGCCGGGGATCATCAGGGATCATACAAAAGCTGGAAAATGCGGTTCGTACAGCTTCTCGCTTCTCTTCAACATGTTCATAGTGAAGGATAGTAGGAATAATAACAGATACAGTGACCGCCAAAAAGTTGCGGACAAGCCTCCCTCCCTTTTTCATCGCTCTTTTTCAGAGGGAAAACAAGGATGAAAAAATGTAATATTTGCATGAGGTGATAGAGCTCTTCAAGATCTACAATCTACACTTTGAGTTTTTTGAGAAACATGGGTTCTAAAAATTTTAAGAATCTTTTTCTAAAAAAAGTCCGAAAATGCCCGCGTCACAATGTGCGGACAATAATTCTTCGAACGCAAAAATTTTTTTTTGAGTCCTATTTTAAAGCATAAACACAAGTTATCCGGACGGATAAACACACTACTATACAGAGCTCGTCAAGAGCTACACACTGGTTATGGTTGCTTCCCAAAAAAAGCAAGCTTGAGTTTTATTTTACTTTTTTAAAAAAACAACTTCTAATTTCCTTTATCAAGCCAAATTTCTTCACACGGAAACCTGTTCAAGACATCCCAACAAAGCGTTCTGGGTAAAATAGATGCTCTTTGCCATCTTCTATGCATCGGACGTGTGCTGATGAGAATCTTGGCTGAAAATGGCCCTTGGCAGTGCTTGCACATGACCCAACCTGCGCCTCACCACTGACTTGTACCGTTTTGCAGGCTTGTAACTCGGCCGCCAGACACTATAAGAGTTTGCAAGTAGACTCATTCGAAAGAGCGTGAGTTCCTGGACACGATGACATGCAAATGAGTCGAGTTTGTGAAATTTCAGAGATTTGGCGGATGGGGTGCAAAAGTGCAGCCTTAGAGGTGATTGGAGTGAAAGCCCTTATGAACACCAGAACAGTCTTAGAGCTTCGAAATGGATCTATTAGAAGAAAATTGACAGTTTTGAACTTCCAGGATAAAATTGGAAGCGAAAGGAGCTCTCTTCATCTTTAGCTGAAAAGTGCTTAGACTACAACTGAAGCTGCCCTCTACCACCCCATCCGCCAAATCTCTGGGAGTGCTCAAACTGAACTTATTTGCATACATCGTGTAGAGAAAGTCTCGTTCTTTCGAATGAGCCTAATTGTAGGTTCAAATATTGACTGCAGACCGAGTTACACGCCTGCAAAGCGGTACAAGTCAGTGGTGAGGTGCAGGTGGGGTCATGTGCAAGACTGCCAAGGGCCATTTTCAGCCAAGGAACTCATCAGCACAAGTCCGATGCATAGAGGATGGCAAAGAGCATCTGTTCTATCCAGACGGCTTTGTTTTCTTGAACAGGTTTCCGGGTGAAGAAATTTGGCTTGATAAAGGAAATTAGAAGTTCTTTTTTGAAAGAAGTAAAATAAAACTCAAGCTTCCGTTTTTTGGGGAAGCAACCATAACCAGTGTGTAGCTCATGACGAGCTCTGTATAGTAGTGTGTTTGCCCGTCCGGATAACTTGTGTTTCCGCTTTAGAATAAGACTCAAAAGAAAATTTTGCGTTTGAAGAATTATTGTCCGCAACATTGTGACGCGACCATTTTCGGACTATTTTTAGAAAAAGGTTCTTAAAATTTTTAGAACACATGTTTCTCAAAAAACTTAAAGTGTGGATTGCAGATCTTGAAGAGCTCTATCACCTTATGCAATTATTACATTTTTTCATCCTTGTTTTCTCTCTGAAAAAAAGCGATGAAAAAGGGAGGGAGGCTTGTCCGCAACTTTTTGGCGGTCACTGTAGGTACGCAACGCGAAATTCAGGTATCTGGAGTTTCGAAATATAAAGCTTTCTTTTAAACCGCCATCCCCTCTCCAGCAAGGAGGTTAGTGCATGCGGCCCTTAGAGTCAATATGTACCCAATCAATATCAACTTTGTGCAAGATTCGCTTTTTCACCATTGAAGAAAGGGCCTTGAGGTCAAAAAAAAGTTGCCTATCTACGTCAAGACAATAATTCTTCTTCGTGACGCAAGCATTCAGCATACAAATATGTAATTCTCCCATCCCGCGATTAAGCCAGCTAGTGAAGAAAGTTCTTTCTACTCTTTGGAAGAAAGGAGGTTAGCGGTAATAATGCGTAAGCGAGAAGGAGGACGAACTCAACGTCAAACTTTTGTGCCTGAGAAAGGTGATACACTTTACTACCCTTATAAAGCCACGCTGCTCATAGAAGTTTTATGGAGAGAGGCGGTTACGCCTCTACTCCTAATCTCCATGGCGACAATCCATGTGTATATCATTTTGTAAGGACGGTTTTGCTCCAATTCCGATTCTTCTTCTAAGTTCCGAGTTCTTGTCGGGGGAAAATCGCGCTTAATCTTATGAAATAAACAATTGAAAATGTTGTCATTTCTCACAAGTACGCTCGCTAGACCTTGATTTGTTACTGCGGCCGTCAGAAATACTAGAGCGTGCTAATCGGGGAATGGTCGGAACTTGATTCAGCAATCCCATGCATGCTGTATATCATCTGGCCATCTTGAAACGCTGGTCACAGATATTTGCTTATTATGTGCCAACGACTATTTGGGAGGAGTTGTGAGCGTGTTCTGTGGCGTGTTCCACGAAACATTCAAAAACACCCATGTAGGTGGTAAATGTGTGATCAATGTGCTTCTTCCTTGTAATCAAAAAACCATAACCACCATGAATCGGCGCCATCTAGCTGCCTCTCGAGGTAATATATTTATCGAAACTCGAAAATTTCTCATATTTAAACGCTTATAACTCCTTCTAGATGGTCATTTTTCACACAAAAACCCCATACTTGAAATCAGCGTTTTAAGACAAGTCTGATGATATCCAGCTTGTTTGGAATGGCTAGGTCAAGATCCAACATTTCCTCATAAGTATTAGGTTGTAAAGAAAGTTCCCGGGCACTTTCGAAAATTTTTTTCAAATTGCTGTAACTTCAAGCAGATTGATTCTTTTTTGAAGCTACAAACTTCATTGTAAAGACAATTTTGTCCACAATATATATTTGTCTTGCTGGCTTCTCAGCACCTCACTGCGGTCCACCAGCATACGCAGAAGGGAAAAAGGTCGTCGCGAAAAGTGGTCTATTTGTGCAAAATTATCTCAGGCAGGATGAGAGCTGGAAAGAGATGCTGTAGTTATATAGAGGCCTGGTGGGGCTGTTATGGGGACCACTCATGTTTTGAAGGACCAGCTGCAAAAAAATTTTCCCAGAAAATTTAAAAAATCGACCATTTTTTGCCCCCAAAATGCACCATTTTTCGAGTAAATGAATTTGAAGTCTTCTGGTTCTGCGCAGAAAGGACCAAATCTTTGATTACTGGCAACATTGTTGGGGTAATGCCTTGCATCTTTTGGACCCATCATCCTGGCGTGGCGATTCCCACAGAAGCGATGCCAGCTGCCGAAAGAGTTGCCGTCAGAGGCAGGTTCGACAGCTTGTAATTTCTGAGCGCAAACCGCAAAACTCAAGTGCAGTTGCGGGTCAGAGGTTCACAGGCTTGCTAATCAGATCGCCCATGATTTGGACGATTTTTTTTGAACTGCACAAAAAAATGGCCGTGAAAAGAAAAATTGTGGAATTTTTGTTGTTGAAAAGATTTCTCTTCCTGATGTGCAGATCAAACAGTTCTTGGCATCGATAAAAGTCAGAAGGCGTATTGAAAACTTTAGGCTTCTCTCTAGTGA